GTAGATACACTGATGTAACTAGAGCACCCCTGAATTCAACACACGCAAATCGTACCCCACTCCGTCGAGCAATCACATGTGGTGCCCAATCCCTGCACCATGCAACCGCCGCCTTGGAGCAGGAGCTATAGTAAATCTCCCATCCACATCTGTTAAAAGTATTTGCACTGGTATGCTCACACTCTTGCAGGCACACCATTTGAATTGACCTGGCTTCACATGCAGCGACCAGGTTGGGTACTTGACCGTCGGATATTTTCTGCACATTCCAGGTTGCGACCACGGTCTCTGTCGCAGCCCTACCGCCCCGTCAATGATTCGGGCACCGTAGTGTCTGAAGAAACTGCACCTGATTAATATCGGGCTCAACGTGTGTCAAATTATCACCATAGAGGTTCCATCCTTTTGTCGGTCCCCACTCTGCAATCAAAGTCTTTTGTGTAGTATCATCAGCATTCGGCATATACCACATATATGTCATTGGCGGACCCGTCTCACCTCGAAGGATAGCCGTCGCATTTTTCTTGACATCAGAAAATAGTGCTTGAAACCGTCCTACCGCCCGAACATGTTCTATCTTCCATGGCTGGCATTCAACTTGAAATCGCACATTGGGAGGCAATGAAGTGAGTCCCCGCCTGTAGTCATTCTCCCACACACGTTTCGCTTCCCATAGGATATCAGAGGATGTACCTGGCTTGAAATAGATTCTCCCCCTCGTGTACGGCCAATATCTACCAGTATTCTCCTGAACCGTCCGATCCAAGTCCAGTGCCACCCTCTGTGTAGCATCAATTTGTTTAGAGTCAATGAGACCATTCATCGCCGTCGTCAGTGCCTCCTGTGAAAGAGCCTCCCGCTGACGTATCTCACGGTTCCTCCATCCCTCCCTTGAAACCCACCCTTTGAACTCAACATAACGTGGATTCCAACCTGGATCGCGCCTGTCCGTACCCGCCTTCGTGGATCCACTTGCTACCGACAGCCCGTCCCCCTGCTTGAGCTTCTGAACTTCATTGGTGAGGTCCTGGATCGCCGATTCTGTTTTTGATACCCTGGAGTCCAGAGATGTTTTCAGACCGTCCATTTCCGTACGAATAGAGTTCCTGAACGATTGCATGTCTGCCGTCATAGTCTGTTGTCCCGTCATGATGGATCGAAACATCTGTTCAATGTCAAGGCCTGCTTCCTGGGCAACCTCATTCGCACCCAACGTTTGTCCCGCACCTCCTCCTTCTCCTTTCCCTGCTCCTTTGACATTACGAGCACGGACAGCTCTAGCAAACGCCCCACCCCCATCATCAATTGTCATGTCCTGGCCCATCGCATGCAAGCCTGGAGCACCTGAAACTGAAGACCCTGCTGGCATCGCTGGTGCAACACCTGAAACTGAAGAACCTGCAGCAGCCATCTTCCTTTTGTGGCTGCGTAAGATATTGAAATCGTAACCTTCACCCTGCACGAAGTGGTTACGCAAGATATTGAAATCGTAACCTTCACCCTGCACAAACGGTACTGTTGGTGTGAGCGATGGCACACAAATAACAGCTCTCCTGTCACCTCGAGGTGTCCCGACCTGTCTAGCAAGATAGTCCCAGTCCGCGTGACTGAAGTCGGATCCCCAGCACTCCGTCGTTCCAAGAGAAAGGAAAAGAGACAATTGCAGCAGTAGCAATAACAATAACAAGTGCAGGCGGCCTAGCACACACACAATAACAATAACAAGTGCAGCGGCCTAGCTGACCTCGATCTCGCTGAACCCGAAGAAGACGAAGAAGGCAGCGATGGCTGCCGCGCCGCCCGCGGCGACGCACCCCCCTCCCACACGCTAGACGCCTGTGGGATCCAGACGCCTTGATCCAGACGCCTTGTGGCGTTCAAAACCCGGATAGCGGAGGCAGCTGGGCGGCAGCAGTCGGCGGCGGGCGGCGGACGCTCGCAGTAGCAGCGGGCGGCCATGAGAACGCTCAAATCGAAGCTCTGGCAGCAACATACCTCTGCGAGTTTCCCGGCATGGCCATCGGCCCGGACCTTCCTGGGAGACCTTCTGGGAAGCTTCGCGAGGCCTCTGGGACACGTTCGACGGGAACCTATTGGAACGGGAGCTTCCGGGACCCGCTGCAATTTTGGAAACGTTCCTGCGGAAATTCTGGAGCGGCGGGGCTTGGCTGCTGGCTGGTACCACCAGCCTCTGGCTTCGAATCTAAAACCCTATAGCCCAAGGAGCTATCCAGGAAAATTTTAGAAGGCGAATAGTTTCCGGTTGCAGCTGTTTACAGGATATGGGAGCCGGCGGCAAGCCGTCAACCTTGTTTTTTTTGCGTTTGCGTAGCGCTCACTGTGCGAATGCCTCACCCGCAGCGCAGCGTCTCGCGCCTCCAAACGAGGCGCAGTACCGAGACACAGGCTCGAGCCTCCAAACGAGGCATTGCACCGAGGCCTCCAAACGGGACCCCGACCACTACACAGCCAAGATTACCACCAATATGCTTCCAGGACGGGGACGTGCAAGCGAAGCTAAAGTCGAAAGTGAAACACACAAGTTGACTGAAGCAAGAACTTCGATCAATGAAATGTGCACTTGAGGATAACAGAGATAGAATAACTCAGCGTAGCTGTGATTATATATTGGAAGATGCCACACATCCAAAGATCCATGAATCGCATTACTCATGAATTCGAAGCTATAAACCCGTCTCCTGCATCGCACATTTGTGTAGTGATCTCTCGGGCGGTCTGGAACAACCGCAATGCCGCTATAATTTCGGACTCCATTGCTGTCGCATCGTGCCCCAAAAGCAGGCCCGTCTCTTGCAGGGTCCGCCACTCTGAAGCATGTGCGGCACGATCAACAGTTTGGCCTTGCAGCCAACAGCCCACGGCACTTCCTGAAACGCTTCTCCCACCGTCAAAGTGACCCCTGAGAGCAGCTAAAGTTTCTCCATTCTTCAGTGCTGTAGTATTTTTGTACGTATAAGAATTGGTTGGGCTCTCGCGAGCCCTCCACGTCAGTTCATCTGCCTCCTCATTCCCTTCGCGGTAGATATGGCGCCCAAGGTCATCTCCCCAATGTGGCGGTCTTATGGTATATTGCCTGCACCATGTTTCCATGTCATCATGTGTTTTGCATACCAACTTCTGATTTTTATTTTTCTGAGTATACCATTTCCCTCTCAGCCAATTGATTGCCGCGAGAGAGCCCCCCGAGAATTGACACATGATGGTACCTATATTTCCTCGGAGCTTCTGATTCCACACCGTGTCAGATTTGAAGTTATATGCGAGTCTCCTGGCTTTCTTCTGCCTTTCCTTCTCCTCCTCCTCCTCTGTTTTCTTTCTGCTCTTCCTCCTCCTCGCCTCCTCCCCCCCACCTCTTCTACCTCCTCTCTCTGAGTCACCTCCTCCACCCTTAAAGTTGCAGAGGTCCCACAGTGGGCTCTCATCACACTCTGCAAGCGCCTTCGGGAGGAATTCACGGAACGCTTTCTCCGAGAAGTGCCATTTCTCCCACCAGCACGACTGTCCGGCGAGTTTTTCAAAGATCCCGTACCAGGATCTCAAGCCAGTCCTCTCCTTTCCTCCTCCCTCCAGCCTCCCCCTCATTTGCTGCCTCACTCTAGCTGGGGTCGCCTTGACAATGTCCCCCCTGTGCCGTACCCAGCCCCCCGCCCCATGCAGCATCTGACATCGCGCCTGTAGCCATGGCCTCTTGGTTGACAGGGCCTTCTCATACACTAGACGCCTGCGCTTCCGCTCCTGACAAAAGGACGGCCCGGGGGGGCCGTCTGCTGCACTGGATTCCAAGAGGTCCAGTCTTTGGTTCATGTCTGTGAGATATGTCCTCCCACGCTTTGCTGCTTGCTGCATCTGGCTCGTCATCTTCCCCCTGTTCAGTTTCTGCTCCTGCTGCTGTTCCTCCTCCACCCCCTCCTTCCCATGTTGAACAAAGATCGAGAGCACGATGTCCTTTGCCCACTCCCACTGCTTCTGCACAAACAATTGCACCAAGGAAGGGAAACCTGCGACATGATAAGCTTGCCTCCGCTGCCTCTTCCTCCTCATGTCGAACTCTGGCCACGAGCAGTCTTTCCTCTGGCAGGTAACTTTCCGTGCAAGGCAGAATCCTTCAAATGAGTGTAACGCTTGCGCTGCGTCTCTATCAATGGCACTGCCTTCTGCTCCGCACAGAGCAACACTAATCACACGAGATCGGTATTTCAAGAACTTCCGTTTGAATGAAATCGATCAAGAGTGATAACAGTTCGCATCACGGAAGAAGGCTGCTTTCGCCTTGTCCAGTATCGCTCTGAGATCTTCATGCCGTCGCATTCCCGTGTCAAAGTGCACCCCTAAAATGTCTTCCGGTTTTTTTTGTCTTGGCATGTTGAGTTCCAAAAGTTTGCTAGTCTTTCTGGTGCCGTCTTCACACAATACACTGAATTTGAAGTTGAGCGTCTCTTGTGCGTTGAAGTCGCCTCCAACATGTAAATTAGCCAAGCTCTCTCTCTTTGTCGCGAAGGACTCTTTTTCCCTGCGCTGAGAGAGGGGCTCCTTGAGCCAAAATGTTTACGAAGAAGCGCATGCTGCAACAGACATGGGGGCAACAAGTACTGCCCCCCTACAACACGCACGCGTACTATGCACAAACACGCTATGCATCCCGACACCCCTCCGTCGCCGCCAGCTCTTCGAGCCAGGCGATCTGTGGGGATGCTGTGGGGCTGTACAGCCAAGACGGCGCCATGTCTCAGCGCGCGTCGCCTGCCTCCCGCCTCCCGGGGAGTCTGTCCTCTCTCATTGCATTCACTGGGCACTCAGCTGCCCGCCACGCTGTGCAGCGCGCTTCGCACAGGTAGGCTCGCGTCTCGCCGCGTGCCCCACGCGTCTGGCGAGGATACTGCTTGGCATTAGGGAGCGGAGCTACCCGCATCCACTGGTCGAACTTTAACCTTGCCGGGAGCGGGGCTACCCGCATCACCAGCCCTATGGGTCTCCACCTCCACTGGGGCGGTGCCACCCGCACCCAGAGAGGCCCTTTACCTTCACCTCCCCGCACCGTGCGGTGCTACCCGCAACCGTCGCGAGGGTGTCCCGGAACTGTGGCTGCCCCTCCGTGGCCGGGTGCCTGGCCACCATGACGAGCAGCTCCACGATCGCGTTGCCAGCAAAGCCACTGCCACCGGCCCCTCTCTCCGCAGCGGCATCTGCTTCACAAGCGATTCCAACCTCTCCGCCGCATGCGCCTTAGTGCCGATGTCGCCCCAATTCAGCAACGTGTCCACCACTGCCAACTGGAACTCCTTCTTGCGGAGGGCCTCCCGCACCCAGAGCTCCTTCATGTGGAGATGACGGACCTTACCCACGCCTGAACGGGAACAGATCCCTCTCGCCGCGGAGCTGTCCGAGCCAACCGTGAGTTTGCACGGCATGCCGATAACCTGCAGCACCTGGCTGGTCATCTTCCCAATGGCCACTGCGCGCACGATGCCGTAGAACTCCGCCTCGCCGCTAGAGAGCGCTATCGTGGACTGCTTGGCCACGCTGCAGTCCAGCATGTGGTCGCCGTACCGCTCCACCGTGCACGACTTGGAACACCTCGTTAGCTCGTCGGCCGCCCAGTCGGTGTCCGTGTACACATAGAGACCATCGGGCACGCTCTGGTACGCGAACAGCCACACCTCCCTGGGGTACTGCTTGACGTACCTCGCCAGCCTGTGCAACTGCAGCTGATTGACGACCTTCGGCTTGCTCATGCCGGCCATCACCTGCGACGTGGCAAACTGTATGGTCGGCCGGCCGATGGACATATACAGTGCGGTCCCTGCACCCTGCCTGAAGCGCGTCGTAACCTCCTCGTCGCTCAGCTCGTCGTCCTGGTCGCGCCGGCCCTTCGCCGTGCTCTTGGTCGCTGGCGTCGGTGCTCCCTTCGATGCCGGTTGCAGTCCCGCCAGGCGGCACAAGTCCTCGGTGTGCTTGGGGCTCGCCTCATACTCGAAACCACTCGGCGTCCACCGGATAATGCGTCCAAGATGCTGCCCCTCGGCTGCTTCGCCGCCGTGAGCTGGCGGTCCTATGCGCGGCAGCCTCTTCGTGTCGAAGTGCTCGTCCAGGATCCGATCCACCTCGCCCAGTGCCTCCGCCGTCCCTGCTGAGAGGAAGTCGTCGCCATGGCAGTTCGTCACGTAGTCGAAGGAGTCTGAGAAGAACATCATTGGGACCACCATTACCTGCTTGGCCCCCTCGCGTTGCACGGTGTCCGTGACCTCGTTCCCCCAGCATTTGCTGGCCTCGCGCGTGCCGTACCATGCCTTCAGGGCCCTCCAAGCAACACCAGGCAAGGCGAGCCCTCGAGGTGGTACGATGACCACTCGCCCCGAGCCAGCTGCATGGAAGAACGCCACCCTGATGTCATGCCGGCCGATCAGCCAGTCGTGCTCTCCTCTCGCATTCGTCTTCGTCGCCGCCATGCTGACCAAAAGCCTAGTGGTCATGATCGGCGGCGTCGCCTGGGCCACGTCCTCCCTGCCGTAGGTGTTGACCTGTGTGGCCACCAGCCGTGATCTGACTGCGTCAGGGTCCTCCGGCGTGGCCTTCTCGTCGTCCAGCCACTTGGAGTAGACGACCTCCAAGCCTTGAGCACGCGCCTCCGACAGCAGGATGGGCTCCTTGACCTCCAGGCGCTGCACGTTGTCTAGCTCTCGGCGCCTGCCCTCATAGACCTTCTGCTTGTTCAGCAGCTTCCCGCTCTTAGTGCCATAGTATTCGCGCTCCCAGTCCAAGAGCTGCCCCTGCCACTCTGCGTCGTCGGGCAGCGCTGCCAGCAGAGGAACCGTCTCAAGCATCTCCTCTGCTTGCGGCTCCTGCTCGCGCAGCGTTGGGAGACCCGCCAGGATCTTCTGGCGCTTCCGAGACCCAGGCAAATCTTCCGCTACCTCGCCCATGGGCTCGTCCTGCGGCTCAGCCACGGCGGGCCTACCCGCTCCCAGCGCGAGCCGCCCGTCACCCCTTGCTGCGCTGACCTCCGTCCCGGCCGCGGTGCTGCCCGCTGGCCGGGCCCCGCTGGATCGCGATGCTCCTCCTGATGCTGCTCCTCCTGCTGCTGCCCCTCCTCCTGGCGATGCTCCTCCTCCTGGTGCTGCTCCTCCTCCTGGCGATGCTCCTCCTCCTGGCGATGCTCCTCCCCCTGGTGCTGCTCCTCCCCCTGGTGCTCCTCCTCCTGGCTGTGGCGCAGAAGGGGCCGACCCGGCCGCCGCGGTGCTTCCCGCTGGCTGAGCACGCGCCGCCGCGTCCCGGTCCACGAGGTCCTGGAACCTGGCACGGCACTCTGCTGAATGGATCTTGGCGTCTCCGAAGCACGCGGGGCAGCCCTTCGTCCCGCCGTACTTAATCTGGCGGTCCAGGTAATGTACACTCCCCTCGGCATCGGTGCCTTCTCCAGGCTGACCCCCGCCTTCGGATCCCATGGCTCTCCAGCCATGGCCTCCAGCAGCTTCTTGTCCCAGCGGCTCGGCTCCGGCCGCCTCCAGATCGACCTGCACCTCTGCACGCCGGCCGCGCTGCCGACGTAGTGCTCGTCGCTCGCCAGGCTCTTGCCGAGCCACACGCCCAGCCGCCATCTGTCATCGAGCTTGGGCATGTCGGCGGCCTTCTGGGGGTCCCTGCAATGCACCACCTCACCGAACTCGGCGATCTGGCCCTTATATGGCCGTCCACGCAGCCGCTCGCACGGCGTCTCGCCGTCGACCTTCACCTGGTAGTGCGTGATCAGCCACGCGGCATGACGGACGAGGAAGGGGAAGAGCTGGTGGTCGAGGTCCACCTTGATGCCGTACACCTGTTCGATCCTGGACCTCATCGTCCGCACCTGCTTTTCGACCTCGTAGTTGGCACGCTCGATGCCGCCCGCGCTGGCACTCGACCCCTTCGGCGCGTTGAGCACGACGGTGTCATGGACACGCTCCTCGCGCACAAGGTTGACCAGCTTCTTCACTGCATTCTCCTGGTCGCTCAAAATGATGATGCTCGTCCTGCCCGTGAACCTCAGGGCCTCTTGGTTGACGGCGAGCGCGTAGCGGTCGCCACCCTTGTGCACCATCGCAGCGAAGACCGCGCCGCTAAGAGAGTCAAGGCAGCAGAGCACCGGCTTCGCCTGCTGGGGATCGTCCGCCCTGGCCAGGAAGAAATAGTCCATGGACCATCTGGGCGCCCCCTTCTCTGCTTCGCTCCTCGCCCGGTGGGCATCGTCACTTGCCTTGCCTCGCACGCAGCGGTCGCACCCCGAGCGGAAAGGCAAGTGCGTCAGCTGGTGCTCGTCGAACTCCTGGCGGCTCACCGTGGGAAGGAGGCGTTTGCTGATCGCGACGCGCGACGCCTCGCTCTCCTCCAGCTGCGCCGGGGCGGGGCTGCCCGCGCCCGAGCTCACAGCTGCCGGAAAAGAACCGGGAATTCGTCGTAACGCTGGCGTCGCCGCCGGCTCCTCGGCCATCGGAGCGGGGCCACCCGCGTCCGAGGGGCCAGCCGCGCTACTGGAAGACATCGTCGGAGCGGTCTCGACCACCGCCGCGGCTCGCGTCGCGCAGAGTGGTGTCTCGTGCTTGTCTGCTCCCGGTGCCGCGCACGGGAGCCAGTACACCCCCCGATGCATCTCCAGCTGAACAGCCTCTGATTGCCGTGCCGCCTGCCGCAGCTCGCTCGCCATCGCCCCTGGGAGCATCGCTTGGCAGCCTGGCCCGAACAGGAACCACTTCCCCTGCGATGCCGCCTCGCCGACGCTCACGATCGGGAACTTCACGTCGGCCTCGTTGTACCTCACGCTCACCTGTCGCCCGCCTTCCAGCTCGAACCTCGATCGCTTCCCGCTCGCCCCGTGCACGGGGTCGTTCGTAGCCGTCGCAAGCTTGACTGGTCGCACGCTCGCGTCGGACTCGGCGTTCGGGTCGAACCCCTTCGGGAACACGATCGCGCCTGCGCAGGTGTCGATCATGAGGTATTGAGGCGTCGCTGGCAGAGCGCCAACTGGAGTCGCGTCTGCCCTCGGAGCGGGGCCTCCCGCGTCCGACCTCAGCCTCGCGCTGGCTGACCTCGCTCGTCCTCGTGCGCTCCTCGACGCTGCTGGCAGGGCGCCACACGGATCCGCGCTTCTCCTCGGTGCGGAGCTTCCCGCGACCGCTTCGGGCAATGCCAAAATGAACGTGTCCGTGTGGCCGTCCCTCACCAGAGCTGCCAGATGAGGCGGAGGCTGCGGCGGGACCGCCGGATGACCATCCGCGCCTGGCGTCGCGTGCAGTGGCCTCCTTGCGCCTTCTGCTGCCGCGAGGTCCCTCTGCCTCTTCCGGCACTCCGCCTTGATGTGCCCCCTCTTCTTGCAGTAGAAGCACACCTTGTCCTTGTTCGCGTTCGCCGTCTCCTCGGCGCCCTTCTTCAACTTGGTGCCTTTTCCTTTTGAGTCCTTGCCCTTGCCGTCCTTGCCTTTGCCTTCCTTGCTCTTGCCGCCCTTGGGCCTTCCGGTATTCCAGGGCGTCGCCCCGAGCTGCATCGGCACGGGTTGGGAGTCGATGTACTGCTGTGTCCTCGTGATCTCCAAGATCTCGTCCCTCATGAGCTGCCGCGTCGTGATCCTGCTGCTGTTGCGAATGAGGTGCTCCTTCACCCGCTCGTTTCCCATTCCCAGCAGCGCCACGCCGATCTTGGTGTCGTCGTCCACCTTCTTCTGGCTCTGGGACTCGTAGTCGTGCACGAGTCGTTCGAACGCCGCCAGCGCGCTCGGAATGTCGCCCCGGAACCGGTACGACATCAGCTGCATCAGCAGCCCAACGAACCTCGTCCGAAGCCCCGGCTCCCACTCGAGCACGAACTGCCGCCACGCTTCGAAGCCCTCGTTGACTCCAGCGTTGTGGCACTTGGTCAGCGCCGGCCCCGAAGTCGTCAGCACCAAAAATGTAGTACAGCTGAGTGCTGAGCCGCGCCTGATCCGGCTCCATAGTCGCGTTCCTCAGCGGCTCTGTCGCCATCTCCGTCTTCTCGATGAGCTGCTGGTAGCGCTCGTCCACCGCCCCGAGGCACGCGCGCATCTTGAAGCTCCAATCCGCGAACCTCGACGGATCGCCAGCGTAGCTCTCGGGCTTGCTGGGCACGCGCGCGTCGACCACGGAGTGCGTCTGCTGTCCTCCCTGGCGCGGCGGTGCCTCCCGCGAGCGGTCCAGCTCCGCTTGCATCCTCTGCCTGTCCTCCTGCAGCTGCTTCATCTCCGTCTCCTGCTTCTGGAGCCTCAGGCTTAACTGCTCCATGGCTCTGTGCATCTCCTCCATGTCTCCTCGCTCCTAGCTGCCGGCCTGCTCGGCGCAGGCGCGCGCCGCGCTCGGCGCGCTTCAACCGAGCGGCTTCTGATCGCCGCTGCCCGCGACGCCCAGAACCGGGCATGCACCGAGGCGCGGGGCTTCCCGCAGCACTCGGGCGCAGGAGGAGAGGGAAGGGGCGCGGAGCAACCCGCAGTCCCCAAGGTCCGGCGGCTCCCGAACCCACGCTCCGCTACCATGTCGCGAAGGATTCTTTCCCTGCGCTGAGAGAGGGGCTCCTTGAGCCAAAATGTTTACGAAGAAGCGCATGCTGCAACAGACATGGGGGCAACAAGTACTGCCCCCCTACAACACGCACGCGTACTATGCACAAACACGCCATGCACCCCGACATTCTTCCACGTGAAACCGCGCGTGTACAACGGGCCACTCATTTCATTCATCATATGTGCCAGCTCCTGTTTGCTTCTCGCTTACACTAAGACATTGTCCGCCCATACTGAGTGAGTCAACTTCCTTTCCATAGTATACGTCGGTTCAAGTGCAAAGCCCAGTCCTCTTTCCTGCCAGCTCTTCACAACATCATCCCACATTGCGACTGTCTCACAATTCCACAGAAATGGTCCTTCCGCTCCCCCCTCTCTGATCATCGTGTCCCAATTTACTTCTTCCGACTCCGTGTCCTGAAAACTGACCTTTCCGTGGTTGTCAATCAAGCATGATAAAATCGCCAGCCTCAAGTGTAAACTGATGCCTACCTGTTGCATTGAGTTCGCAGCTCTCTCAAAAGTCATTGTCTCGAATGCGTGCTTCACATCAGCCAGTCCTAAATGAAATGATTCACCTTTTCCCCTAGCGCGCCGGTATTACTGGGAGCCGGCGGTAAACCGTCAACCTTGGTTTTTTGCGGTTTGCGGTCAGACCAGGCAGCGGCCGTCAGGGCCGCAGGTCAAGTTACCACAACGGGCAGAGACATGCCAAAAGCACGTGCTCTTTCAGTCCAGGGTGCTGGGCAGGCGGAGAGCGTGCCAAACGCACGAACTCGTGTAGGCTAGCAGAGACATGCCAAACGCACGAACTCTTGCAAACCAGAGAGTAGGCGACAGGCAGCTCTTATTTCGGCTTGCGTGACAGTGCAGCTGGGAGGGAGAAGAAAGGCGTCAGCCATGATGTTATTGATCCAGATCGGTGTGTGATCATATCCAATCAACTCGGGAGAAGATGTGAGGGATGGGGAAAAATAATAAGCATGCACGTCAATAAGCCAACCACATCCAACACCCATTTCGGACCGCCCTCCGTCCAAAGCACCACGGAGAGCATGTATGCTGATGTATTGATTACGGATCTCCTGAATGATGTCATGTTTGTATATTTTCCCGTGTTGCCCCTTCGTGCTTCCCAGGTCAACTCGTCCGCCCTTTCATTTCCTTCACGGTACACCCATTTGATAATGTTGTGCCCAGCATTCGGAGGTCTCATATTGGCAATGGTGGTTAACTCATACAACTCATTTTGTGCCTCATGCAACGTGTTAGAATAAACAAGGTTAGAGGTCTGCCACACCCCTAAGAGCCAGTTGATCACCACCTGCGAGCCACCCGCAAGTTCGACCGCGAGCGAATGTCTGTCAAGCAGCCACTCCGACTGTTCTTCAAAGACTCTGGCCAACCTGATCGCTCTCTGTACTGCCTTGCCCTCGTTCTCCTCCTCCTCCTCCACCTTCATACAGTAATGTGCCTGCGGTTCCTTTAATACGAAATATTTGAGTATGCTATGTTGTACTTCATAATGTGTGCACACATCTTTACAGAATATGATCCAATCCCTTTCCGTCCAGCCCAACGTACCAGTCATCCAGATCTCGGTGCCAACATTTTCAAAGAGCGACGCCCAAGACGTGAAAGCACCGCTCTGTCCACCCGCACACTTACGGGTGAGCAACCTGGCCGACTTTGTGCCCACGCTTGCACAGAAAGCATCGGTTTGATCACTCCATTGCTTCCCTCCCACCAGCATAAGAGCACGAGCCTGTAACGCCGTCCCGAGGTTCGATCTCGTTGACATGATCTTTCTAACTTTTGTCCGCGGTCCCTCGGGCAAGACACAGGCCCCCTCAGGGCCAGACACCATGGATAAGGTGGCCCCCAGGGTAACACGCCTCCTCGTTTGTCCATCTTGACATTGTTTCGCATATTGTGTGATACGTTTACGGCGATTCCAAATATGCGGCTGTGATGGCTCCTCCCCAGATGGTGCGCTCCCGACTGACTCCCCGAGCTCTTGAGAACCCCCCGTCACCGAGGGTTCATTCTGCACATAATCTGGTGAGGCACCCAACTCAACAGGGAAACAAGATAGCGCAACATCCTTGGCCCACATCCACTGTTTGTAGAGCGTGAGTTGGACCAGGCTGGGTTTGCCCATCTTCTGTAATATTTCCCTCCCCATGTCGAACATGCGACGGCCAAAGATGGACCAACTCACCTCGGGCTTTTTCCTTCGCCATATCAATTTGGACAGGAGCTCACCCTCACGCGCGTGAATATACTTCAACGTGCACGTGTCGATGGTGACGCCCTCAATGCCATACAAAAAGCGTGTTTGCACCATCGTAACATATCTTCTGATCTTCTTCGCCATCGCAATCTGCCTATTCATGAAAAGGGGCGGGCACTCCAAAATGCTTTCTCCATTTCTTTCATTCTGTGTGCGATATCAACATGTGTTTTGAATTCTCTATCCAGCATAGTACCCAATATCTCCATTCTCGTCACCTGTTTGAGTTTGATGACATATGGCAATACTTTCTGCTTGTTTGTGCGCCCCTCCTGCTCAAACAGCTGGAGATGGCTCGCACAGCTCATACCCTCTTGGCCCTCCCTTGGGCCAGCTGTTGGGACAATAAAAGGTACCTCCAAATCATGATCACAACCTAGCTTCATATATTCAAGACTACTCTCGTTCCACTCAAATCCAAAGCGACGCAGGGCATCTGTCATGTCGGCAATCATACTTGTCATCTGGGATGAGCTGGCCGCGAGCAAGATCACATTATCGGCCCACAACATGTTTGTAATTTTCCAGTCCCGATGTTCACCACTGCGTACACATGCACCCGCTTCCGAAAGAGACCACCCCCACCCCTTCTCATGCCATCCCTTAGCTACCTCATCAAAGGCAGCAATGGAAAGGGCGATCCACAGGGTCGGAGCCTCGAGCGAGCCCGTGCGGACGCATCGGTTCCAAGGTACACCTGCTGCCGATACCTCTTGGAAGCGAAACCCCGCCTCGTTGTCGAGATAGCACTCGAGTAGTGCGTATGCAAGTTGATGTTTGACGCCAATATATTCCAGAGCATGTGCCGCCGCAGGTACCGTAAAAGAATCAATAGCACAGGCCACGTCAAGGCTGGCGAGGTGGAGCACATGTGACTTCTCCACTGAGCAGCAGGGCGGCAGGCGTTTTTTAAGTCCCGCCGCTACTTCATGACATCTCCGCTCCGGCACAAAGCCATAGCATCGGACATAGTATCCCGATCCCCTCGCTCTGATGCGCCGCTGAATTAGGTGGGTGAGGCACCCACTGTACCATTTACCAAAGACACTGAGTAACACTAACCCCCTGGATTCGTCCAGAGAACACTTCAACTTGTTTTTCAGAATGACTGTGACGAGGGTCTTTCTCCACGATTCAGGTGTGACGATCTGGCGCTGATAAAGGGCCTGGAAGGCCTGCAGTACAAGACGGAGTGTTTCCCAAGAGAGTGTCTTGAGCATGGCGGCCGCAACGCCGTCTGACCCCACAGCCCTCCCCACTTTCAACTTTGCACGTGTCTGGAGCAGCACCCCCATGTCCAGCGGGCACTTGGTACACCCCTCCTTCCTCATCTCCTCCTCCGCCCTCTTCCTCAGCTCCCTCAGGCATTGCACGGTACGTGTCTTGTCATCATCGCAAGAATATCTAGTGAGGCCGTGTCGACGGAGGGCCTCTGTCCATTTACTTCGATCAGTACTTGGTACCCCATCAATAATCAAACACCTCACAATCGGTGCACGCTTCCTCCCATCACGCTAGGCATGTTCGATGCACTCTCTCTTCCTGGCTCTCCTAACTTTGTTCCACCTCTTCCTACTTGACTTGAACGTCTCCTCACCCACTTCCCCTCTCTTCCACAACTTATGCAAAGCAAAGTGCGTCTGCCTGATCTGTACGTGCTCCTCCGACCATCTGGGTGTCCCTGAGCTCTTCCTCTGGGTTCCAGTCGGGGCCAACTCCGCGGCCTTCAGGAGGCCCTGACTCATGGACTCCAGGGGGTTGCCCATCACGCTGTTCTCCACCATCCTCCTCCTCGTCCTTCTGGCCTGCTCCTTCTTATCCTTGTCGTTCTCCTCCACCTCCAAACCCACCTCCTCGTAATACTGTTTGGTACCCACCACTTCCCTGACTACTGTGTCGGATGCACTGCCGAAGATGCGTGAGCTGGGGAGAAGTGCACGGTCGAAAAGCGCAGCGGCATCACGTGAGGGCACACCAGGGTCCACATGCCAGTGCGTCATCTTCTTGGGAAGGCGGCTCGCACGATCCAACTGTATGTCCTCGATGCTCGGAGCCGTGAGTGAGAGAAGCTTATGGTCACTCCAGAAAGTGTCTAATGATACATCCCCTTCCAAAGATCTCTTTCTTCCAGCTGCCTCAGGAATAAGCCAAGTCGAGGTTGTTGGTGGGAGCTTCCAAGATTTGGGTACTGCTAGATAATCATACACCTGCTCATATCCCCTCGTACTCCTCCACGTAGTGTCCCCCTCCTCCTCACAGCGCCTCGGAGCCCCAAAGGTGTTGGCCAGCTGGAGTCCCAAGATGCCCATGGTGGCCACTAGGGCCTCGCTCATGGCTCTCCTGATGATTCTCGCACGTTTTTCATGCCCACCACGCCCTCCGCGTTGATCAGGTAGAACCCCATCCTCCGAGACCTGCAAGTGCCCCGACAAGGGGTTTTGATGGACCTCAAA